GAGAGAGAGAGAGAGAAAGAGAGAGAGAGAGAGAGAGAGAGAGAGAGAGAGAGAGAGAGAGAGAGAGAGAGAGAGAGAGAGCACCTTTCCTTAGCAGGTACTCCATCTCCAACCTTCTGAAGAAAATCACCATACGCTAGATCGCAGTCTCTTAGAGTAACACTTGTATAGACACCATTTGCTGGAACAACAATTACTTTGGGGCAGCATGCCTCAGCAACACGGCTGCAATCCAGTCATACACAGTCATCAAAGAACGTGCCAGAAAATCAGTCTTCACAAAGGACATTCCAATTACATACAGAGCACATGTTTAGCATATGTACTTCACAAAAGGAACACAATTCTTCTGAGGCTGAAAGCCTGGAAGCTCACTAGCATGGCAGATTCATCTTCCACAAGTAATACAGGTAATGGAAGAGTAGTATATACTTCAAAGAGCAGCAATTCCTCTTAAACCGCTAGTACATGGTCACAGCCTTGCAGAAAATTGTCGCCTACTCCGAAAACTTTGTGGGTCAGACCTAGTGGACCACATTGGCTGGTGGCGCCAGCCAAAAACAAAAAGGTGTGCCTCTGGCGGTTCAGAAAAGCTTGGCGCACAATGGAGCGCCTCCAGGCCCGGTTGTACTGATGGTTTAAGGTTTTGCAATCTTGGAGCTCGCTTGCATGGCTGGTTCGCCTTCCACAGAATAGGACATGTATGTCATGGTGTTATGATCCTGGCCAATTTCGAAGTACACATTGATCAGAAAGTACAATCCCGTCCAATTGCAAAAAGAAATGAATGAACTTGAGAGGAGAGAGAGGGAAAGAAGAAGAAGAAGAAAGAAAGAAAGAAGAAGAAGATGATGTACACCAGCATAGATCAATGATAATGCTCTTCTTCGCCAACCACTCTCCTCCTCCTTATCTCCTTCCCTCTTATTCAAACAAGAAGTAATAGTAATAACGTTGAATGGTTGAACCAGAATCAATGTCCGAATCCCTCTTCTACTGCAGGTATCACATGAGGTCCCCCATAGCCATGGCCGCCCTTCTTCCTCCTTCCTCCAATGCCGAGGCTATGGCGGACTACCAGGGCATCGTCCTGCTGTGCAAAGGACAACACAAAGCAGCTATGGCTGCTCTAGCTCAGGCCGCCATGCCTGACTCTGCCTCGAAGCTTCTTGGTGTAGCTCTACCTCAACTGGGGCCTTCCTGCTGCAGCACCCACCAAGGTGATGCTCTGGCGCTCCCCCTGCCTAGTCCTGGTCTTCTTCCTCCTCCTGTCCTTGCTCCTTCCCCAGCAGCGCAGCTCTGTGCTAGCGCTGCTCCAGCCAGCGCTTCAACCAGTGTGTCGCCAAACTTGCACACCAACAATGAGGAGCACTTTGCCCCTCCTGGAGATATAGCGGCCTGCTTGGCTCTTGGCGAGTGACTTCCTAGGCCGCACGGCCTCCAAGCAACCGGTACCTCCTCCCTTTCGGAGGGAAACATCATTGCAGACTCTGATATTGCCCGTACAGGCCCTAGATTCAGACTGGTTGAACTGGTACCCGCCTAGACCTAGCCTACAACTACTGGGCCTCTAAAAATGCCAACTTTTGTCTTCTTCTGCTCGGCCTCGAGAACCCGGCACATCTACCTCTACTTGGTGGGGTACCGGCCTACCTGCTACTTGAGTGTTTTCCGCTGCTCGTTGTGGGCCTCTTCCCCGCCACTTGAGTGTTTTCCCCGCTGCAACCCTCGACCACAGGTAATTAGTACCAGCCCTTTGGGCGTTCCGAACAAACACGTGCCCTTGCGGGTCACACACACACTCAAGCCGACAATCACTGAGACAGGCATGCAGACTAGCAACCACGCACCCACACAACAAGCGGGAAACTCAGTAAGGGATACATTCTATGAGCAAAACTCAGAAATCAGCTTTGTCTCAGTCCGTGTTTGGCAGGTCGTTACAATGGAAGCAAAATGCCGTCCAAAATTCTCTCCAAATGTCCTTCATACTTGCTTTCTGAACCAATGGAGGATCTGTTAAGGGGTTCAGATTTGAATCTGAGATCAAACTGATCAGTTCAAGGATCAGCTCTATTCCTTCAAGGAGGGGGCAGAAAGGGGGGGGGAG